TTAAAGCACGAAGAAGTGATATTTATGGTTAACATAAGACGCGTGAGAATGAATGCAGGACAACACCTGCATCGTGCATCGAGAGGCCATCGAGCGACCTTGAAGGAACCGCTGGGATTGGTGCAACGCGTAGAAGATGGGTGCACCTGGGCCAAGCGTTTAGAGGAATTCATTTGTGTGCTTTGCTTGTACTTCAATGTAGTGCTTCAATTAGCATTTGATATCGTCACCTAGGTTACGAGGGCACCTGAGGCTTCCTTCTCATGCCTCTGATGGGCAGCATGGCCTGCAGGACATGTCAGTAGCCTCGTCGCTTCTGTGCGTGGGAATGTGCTGTGAATGAGAGAATCCGTGTCGACCCTTAACAGAATGTTTGTAATTGACAATCGGTAAATGCTTGTACTCCCTATTTTCAGGAACGCTGCCAACACTCGTTAATCATCTGAAAAATCTTGTGACGGAGCTGTCAACGGTGCCTCTATGAAGATTTCCACACCATTTTCCTACTTGCCTTATGCATACCAGCAGTAGTGAATCCATTGCTAACAACCTGTCAGAACTATCGTATTCCAAGTCCACCAATACTTGGGTTGTTTTTGCTCCAAGTCGTGGGTACAAAGCCCCACGAAGGTGACTGTTGTGCAAAGTCATTCACATGAGATATGCATTACATTGCCAGAATTTTCTCCACTTTGTAGGTGAGTAGTCGCAAGAAATAACTGTAAAGGTGCATTTGCTTGTATTTTACAATAGGAAGTCATCTTTTAAAAAAGATGCATTTACATGTCGATATGCCAACGAATGAGATGTGCCACAAATGCAAACGCAGAAATTGACATTTTTTATTCAGTAAAATTTTTTTGTGCGGTTACAATTAAGTACAATAGGTGATATTAGAAAAAAAATGTGTAGCTAGTTCCTGGTTTATTTTCTTCACTCGGGCACTTTTACACTTTAAACGAAGTGATTAATTGGTTGGGTTATCTTGAGAGCTGACAGAAATTTGTACATGTGGGATTCTTCTCTACCTCTGGGAATCCTGGCGTCAAATTTATCACGAAGACAGCACAGGCTGCTCTCGTTTCCCCTCAGAGGTACATTTAACACGCATAAGCACTCCGCAGCCCTTTTGTCTTTCAAGCACAGTCTTCTCCACTTTCCCTTTAAGTTGTCGTTGTATATGCCATTGCACAATTTTTTTTCGTGCGTTTGTAAGCAAAGCCTCACCTTTGAAAATAACTAACAGAGTACTTTTTAGTGCTGCATCATGTTGTGTTAAACAGGTATCAGCTAAGTACTTAGTTGTGCGTTTTGAACGAAGCAGTTTGTAGACAAGAGAACTTTCATTTCGCATACTTCATCATTGTCTTTTAAACAATTGAAGTTTGATCCCTTACTCTTCCAAACGTTAACCATTTTTTCTGTAAGTGGTGCTTCACACTTGTGTGGGCTATTGTAGCTTCCCGAGACTCCCTGAAGACGAAAGAAGAAAAAATACTCGGGCAGAATATGTAGTCAGCACGGAGAAAGTGTCTGGGCTATTGGCATGGCCCAAAAGGTTAGCCCACTCAGCGAGGTACAAGGGGGCTAATTCGAAGTACAAAAGTGGCGCCTCACCAATGTCGAGGGATAAACCACTATCGCATTACACTACTGCAGAGTCTTTCTCACCTTTTAAGCTTGATGCACGTAGTTCGAAGGGAGAAGTGTGAATGCCGATCCATTTGGAATCCCAGCAACCTTTACGACTGCTGTCTAGCAGACTTTACAATGACGAAGCATGTTGTTGCGGACACACTTAGTAAGTTTTTCTCACATTACAGTGATTTCCATCATTGCGTTGCTTCTTTTTCTATTAGAATACGTTGTCCTGTCAATTAAATATTTATACAGCAATGATATTTTTATTTACCCTGAATTTCTGCGCTCTCAAAAAAGTTTAGTTTAGTTAAGCCACAGATTTTCTTAATCCTACATTTTGCTTAGATTGTAAGCGTTCATCTAGGTAAGCAGTGATGCACGCCAAACCTTCATATCCAACCCTCTGCCTCAGGTTTGTCTGCTTTAAGGAAAGGAAATTAAGAAATCCTCCTAGTCAAATATGATTTTTTTACTTCTCTAACACGCTAAAAACCTAAGTTCATTCGTCGACGAGTTTTTGCTTCCTTATTTGTTAAAAGAATGTGAGATTCACGTGATTTAGTTTTGGCTCTTTGATTATTTTCTAACACATTTACTGTCAGTTTTTCGGCGAAGAATCGACGACTACTATTCTAGGTGTTTTACAGTCCTAATTTGATTTTTTATCTAAGTCAAT